CACCTGCAAATCTCCACCAACCTCTTTAATCATGGAAGAACAACTACTTTCATAATTAATGATCTCCTTCGACAGAAATTAATTAAGCTAATCATTCATCTCATACATCAATGATGTTACCCCTTTGTGATCAACTCAACAGACAAATCTTGTATGATTTTGGTCCATTACTAGGGACCAAAACAATTTTTATCAGCTGGTGTAGTAAATTTAGTGTTCTTCAAATTCTGCAGAGAATTAAAGGGAATAAACAGGACAAAGCCACATTGGGAAAGATTCTGAACCTTCTCCGTCACTGAATTTAAATTTTAAAAGGAATTTTTTATCATCTCCTTTCCCTCTGATGTACTGGATCTCTAAAAGCAAGCAAGAATTTCCACAATCGTCCTGCATAACTAGGGCAATGGGCATGGAGAAGCCAGAGCCATACTCACACACTCATACTGATGATGATAAATAATTTACTTTAAAACATGGGCCATGTTCATATGTTGTGGGAGATGAACAGGATTTTAAGATCACCAAGAAGCCGAAGTCCCATTTGCGGGACCTATCTATATTTGGTTGATATGACATTAATCATATTGTAAGGAAAAGGTGTCCCGGAAGTTTACGGCTTGAAATAAACTCTGCATAACTTTTAATTAAAGAAATCTAATTCATTTTTTTAATCAATTGCTTATATATATATATATATTTTTATGAAAGCCCTTAAATTATTTTTTTAGAATTACATTAAAAGTATTTCTAAAAACTTCAATTTTTTATGTTTTTAGATCATTTTAATATATTAATATTAAAATAATTTTTTAATATATTTATAAAAACAAAAACACTTTAAAAAACAATCATTATCAAACTTTCAAACATTTTTTATTTTCTAGATTCTCTTATTTTGCACAAATTCTGTCCATAATTAATTATCGGTGGCTGGCTTGGTTTGATCAAAAACTTTTCTTTCCTTTTTTCCTTTTTATTGATGCTCCTTTATACCCCTTGAGTGGGAAGGAGCACATTTCTAGCAGCAATTTTCTTATTTGGCGAGAGATCTGTTAGAGATTGATGTGCTATGTTCTACTTTGATTATGCTTTATAAGCTGTGATGTAAAACCACAGATTCCATGAAAATTAGTTTTGATTTTGGTTGAAAACATGGTTTTTTTTTTTTTACTGAGAAATAAGATGTTTTTTCTTTTAAAATTTCTAAACTTTACATTAATCAAATACTAATTCTAGACTAAAATCAGTTAAAGATCACTGCACTTTAAGAACACATCAGCTCAGAGATGCTGCTTTTTTTATATAAAAAAATCTAATCCGACTGACCAAACAACTTTTGTTTCTTAGTAATGCATCTTTTACTCAGATTTTATGCAGTAAAAAACGAAATTGTTTCTGGAAGTAGTAACAAACACTCAAAATTGACATTGAAATTGAAAGGATAATTATAAAATTTGATAGCCTAAAAAATTAAAATAAAATAAAATTAAAAACAAAATTAAAAATAAAAAAATTAAAATAAAATAAAATTAAAAATAAAAAAAAATAACTAAAATAAAACAAATAAGAACTAGAAAAGAAGGGATTACATCAAAAGATAAATAACTTGAAGTGTTCATCTATAAATTTAGAGGCGTCATATCCATATTTTTAAAAGTAAAGAGAAAAGAAAAGAATAAAAAAAGTCAACAACACTGCATCAAGATTTATTAACAACACTCGTCGCGCAGGAAAAAAAAAAGATTGGGAAAAATTAAATAATATAATAAAAAAATGATTGATCATCAAAATCATGTTACATGCACCAATAAATTTTTAATTAATTAATTATTTATTTATTTATAAGAATACCACATTACTTTTAAGGTTAAAATGCTTTTATAAAAAAATCATTATAAAATGATAAATAAACCACTGCAGCCAAGCTTTTAAAAATTTGATTCTAAAGGTAAGAGAGTCATTACTATAGCAAAGAATATAAAATATATAAAAAAACCTCAAGACCAAAGTTAAATTTTTTTTTGGTTGTTTTTAAAGGCATTAAAGTAATTTTTATATAAAAACATGAAAAAATATATTCCTAAAAAATTATAAAATAACAAATGAACAAAGTAAAAAGACAATTCATTGTGATTTTTTTATAAAGACAATTGTCAATTTAGTATTATAATCTATAATAAATCGAGGTGTATATATAATATTTTTCCCATATACTTTAGTTTTTTTTTTAATATATTATTGTTAAACTCAACTTAGCCAACGAATTAACTTTGAAAACTTGGGATTCAGAGCCTAGCTTGAGATGATTTTTAATTAAATTAAACAAAATATTGATACGATAAAACTCAATTAACTAACTAGACTAAATTTAGTTCAACCTCGGAGGGTTAGCATGAGTGAAAAAAAGAATGAAAAATGATGTTTTAATAAAAATAAAAATTTGACTCGGATTGATTGGCGACTCACGGGTTAACGCGACGACTAAAATTCTTTTCCAAGTCAATCCCGAAAATGGGTAGGGAAATTATTGGTAATTATGTGCATTTGCCTGTACGAAATTCAGAAGGTCATCGATCCTTATGCGCTGATCGATCATAATTATGTCTCACCGGACTCATGACTTTATGCCCTGTATTCCACCACCGGAGCTAGGGGTTTATATGTAGCTAGCTTTGTAGCGGCCCACTCTCGTCTGATCCTTCAATACAAAGATCAATTAATTTGGAAGAGAAGAGGACACGACATCTTGTGCAGAACATCGACATTGCACAGATAAGTTGACTTGATGGTTTATTTGTGGTGCACATGGGTAGGGAAATTATTGGTAATTATGTTTTATTTGTGGTGCGCATACCACACGCACATGTGTAGTTTAGGACAAAATGACACACAAATCTGACCTTACGTTTGACCCCACAAACGCTTTTGTTCTCAAGGACACGAGGAGGACTCTTTTAACACAATTTCTGGTCGATGAAGCTATGCACGCAGAGAAATTTTAGCACCAACCGAGCCTATTGATCTACGAAAGCTTTAAACGCAAGTAAAAAATCCGTAAGTAAGACATATATTCCCGAGGAATTCCGATGAAAGTTCATCGTTAAATCAATTATTCATGATAAATATCCGTCAATAAAAAGTAAAAACAGCTTTTTTCTACCTGATGTCGGAAAAACACTATGTTTCCGACGAAAAAACATCGGGTAAAGCAATGCTGGAGTTCAGCCACTGGAAACGAAAAAGGAAATTTAAGATCAATGCCTTCAGGAACCCTTCCTGTGTACACCCTTGGAAATGAAACCTTGTCAGTCATCTGTCACCTTAGAATAAAGGTTGACATAGACAGTATTATATAATAATACATCCATGCATGCATGTATATAGATATGGAGCTGTGATTACCAAATTGATGACCAAAGGAAAAGGGCAAATAGAAAGTTTCATAAGAAAAAAGATTAAAAAAGAGGGGAAGCCATATGTTCTCACATAAAAAAGCGAATTTATTCCACCCTATTTATATTCTTAATTTCTTCTATTTAAGGTTTTCTTTACATGGTTCCTCCTATGATCTTGAAATGTTCCACTTTATCAAAAACAGTAGTGCGAACATTATTCCAGGTACAGGTACTTGTCTTCATTAGTACCCCAGCCATACCAGGCATGAAATCACCATTTATCCTTGCCTAGCTTTTGTAAAACCACTCCCCTACCGCAGGTTTACAGCATCCTTATCATAATTGCTCGAGACTGATCCCTCTTTCAGTGTTAGTCACTAGCATGATACTGTGCGCGGAACCATTGCTGTATATAGTGCGCCTCAATGCATTGCAGAAGCTGTAGTATACGCCTTTCATCAGCTTCATTCACATTGAAAAAAAAAAAGAAGGTTTTTTCAGTCCGAATGGAGCAGGTGAAAGGCGTATACTACAGCTTCTGCAATGCATTGATGCACACTATACACAATTACTTTATCAAAAGAACCAAAGTTGACTGAACAAATTCGGCCTAGCATAGTTCCTTTTAAAGCAGATAATATATATCAAGGATAACACAAATATTTTTATTTTTTTGTTATTTCTTATTCATCATCAACTAATTAAATAAAATGCACAAACAGTTGCTCTGTTTTGAATATCATTATCAAAAGCAGTTTCGTCTCTGTTTTTTTTTCTTTCTCGCCCTTAATGTTCAGATTGTCTCTATTTTTTTTTTGTCCTGGAATATAGCAATCAAATGCTACCCTAACGTATAATATAATTAAGATTTCCCTTTTATGTTATGGAAAGTATGAATAAGAAGAAATAAAAACTGACAGTGAAATTATTTCTTGAGAGCTTAAAAACTGCTGGTGTAAAAGATTGCATATCTTGGTTTAAACCCAGCAAGTGGAGCAGCTTTGATAATTCGATCACAATCTTTTACTTTTAGCTACCATCATTAATTTGCATTGTTATTATTATTATTATTTGTATATAATTAGAATGTAGACACACACATGTGCACAATAAATAATTATTTGCTGCTATTATATATTGATATATCAGAGACTAAGTGAAAATTAAATTAAATACAAGATAGGATGAATATGTACAAGTTTTAAGTTTAAATTTTTTTTATTTAAGGAAATATATTAGAAAATAATATAAATTATATCTTGAAATCTCTTTTAACCATTAAAATTATTGAATTAAAATGGTTTTTTAACGATATGTAAATAAATGTTAGCATGATTGGTTTAATCTATACAGACCCGATATCGAGCAAATTCAAGGCAGGCACAGAGTCTAACGAGAAGGTGACAGGGTGGTGTAGTCTACTCTATAATTGAGTGAATGCATTGAGTATAAAAAACCCCAAGTGGGAAAGACAGAAAATCAATGATTCATGTCTCATGTTAAAAGCCTCTTTTTCAAAGTTTTTTTTTTTTTTCCTAATACAGGACTTCTTGCAATATTGTCCCACCGTCCACTTCCAAGGCTACCAGCCTCCCATCTCCAGCAGTTCCAACCATTACTTCTCTCATTCTCTCCATCTCTAGGGATTCTCTAAGTCAACTCCTTAATGTCCTCTCTTTCTGTACTATAAATATCAGTCATCTCACTTCCTTCAAAACATAAAGACAAGCAAGTGCAAACTCAGAGCATGAAGCTTCTCTAATTAAATAGTTAGCACTTACTATATACTCTATTTATTTAGCCTTTGACTGTTTTTGGTAATCTAGCTAGGGTCATGGACAACGCAGAGGTTCCATCAGTTCCTTCAACCCCAGCAACACCAGGTACTCCTGGTGCTCCTCTCTTTGGTGGGTTTAAGGGGGAGAGAGGTGTTCATGGTAGAAAATCCCTTTTGAGAAGTTGCAAGTGTTTCAGTGTGGAAGAATGGGCGATGGAAGAAGGAAGATTGCCTCCTGTCTCTTGCTCACTGCCCCCTCCTCCTGTCTCGCTAGCAAGAAAGGTATGCATGCATGTTGTGTGCAGACAACTTTCTATGACATAAGAATAACCAAAACGAACTAACGTTTTCCATTTTGTGTTTTGTGTTCATGTAACTTATATCAATTCCAAAACTGCAGGTGGGAGCTGAATTCATTGGCACTCTTATACTGATCTTTGCTGGGACAGCCACGGCCATTGTTAACCAAAAAACACAAGGCTCAGAAACTCTCATTGGCCTTGCTGCCTCTTCCGGACTAGCTGTAATGATCGTTATATTATCAACAGGCCACATCTCTGGAGCTCATCTCAACCCATCTATCACCATTGCCTTTGCTGCCCTAAAACACTTTCCATGGAAACATGTACAAGAAAAATACACAGTACTATTCAATTAATGTTGCGTGTTCTTATTTTAGCAGTTTTTGGACGTTAATATCACTCTCCTTTGAACAGGTGCCAGTGTACATCGGGGCACAAGTATTGGCATCATTATGTGCTGCATTTGCATTGAAGGGGATATTTCACCCTGTAATGGGAGGGGGGGTCACAGTTCCTTCTGGGGGTTATAGTCAAGCTTTTGCTTTAGAGTTCATTACCAGCTTTATTCTCATGTTCGTTGTCACTGCTGTAGCCACCGACACAAGAGCTGTAAGTACTTTCCTTTCCTTGCTTCAAACCTTCTCAACTAAGCATTAAGAATGCCTTTTTGGTTCTTAATAAATGGCAAAAGCTGGATTGAAACTTGGTTTTCTAATACTCTTGTTTAAATTGTTTATATATAAAAGAAAGCATTACATTTACATATCCTCTCTCCTTTTCAACTCTTCTTTTCCCCCAAATTTTCCAAAAGGGAAGAGAAAACGACAAGAGTCAATCGAGATGGTTGGCACCCATTAATAGAATCATTAGCCCTGGAATGGATGAAGATAAATTTCACATCTACCTATGGAAATAAAATACAAGCTATACAAGCTATACAAAAAAAAAAATAAAAAAAAATACAAGCTATACAAACCTCAAAACCTCAAGGCCATTAAGCTTTATATAATTATTGATTTCAAGATACACAAAATTAATTAATAAAGTGATCTGAATATCCGTGTTAAAAAAAAAGAGCACTGGCCAAATTTATTAGTCTCTCGATTTCACATCTACATTCTAATCACATGCACACAATACATTGAAATAGATTTAGCTGTCATACTTGGCAAGTGTGACAAAAATCTGTGGCCATGCACAGGTGGGTGAGCTGGCGGGAATCGCGGTAGGGGCTACTGTCATGCTCAACATACTCATTGCTGGGTATGCGTCTGCTAAACCCTTCAATTATTCTTGCACTATTGATCTGATTTAGGAGAGTCCAAAAAGTAACAGTGAGCAAAATGCAGTGCGGTCAAAACATGGTAAAGAACATGAATATTTAAGCACTATTGTTAGCAACAACTTGAAGACTTGTGAAAAGGGGCGAATCCAAGAAAAGCAACTGAGTCAAAACCTATTTCAGTTCTTGTATAGCTTAACCCTTCCGTATAAGTTGATGTGAGAGACATGACAACAGCATATTTTTTGTGGTTCAGAACCTACAAAGATTGTTCCCATTCATCAATCGAAAATGATCTATGATTAAGGCCATTCTTTTCCATGCTTATGATGGTTTGTGTCAAATCAAATATTAAAAATAAAAAGATAGCAGAGAGAGAGAGAGATTCTTTGTTTTCCTGTGCATAAAGTAGTCTGTAGTGAATGGAGCATTTTATTACAGAGATTAAAACATCTAAACATTATTAGCATATTGGAGTGTCTTCATTTTCATGTGCAGGGAAACAACAGGAGCATCAATGAACCCAGTCAGAACATTAGGGCCAGCCATTGCTGTAAAGAACTATAAAGCGATATGGATTTACCTCACTGCCCCGATCCTCGGAGCGCTGTGTGGAGCAGGAACTTACTCTGCTGTCAAGCTGCCAGAAGAAGATGGTGATTCTAATGAGAAAACATCAGCAGCAAGGAGCTTTAGGAGGTGATAATTGAACACCATAAACAAACCAACACAGATAATCCCAGAATGCTGTTAGATGAAAGTGCAGATGAGGAAAACAAGATGAAGCTACTGCTCGTTGCATTCTGGCCGGTTTATACACAAAATTAAGATAAAATGTGAATAGTTTGGCTTTTACTAATATATATGAAGAAATTTCTTGCGGTGCTAGCTATCTTAGTTGGAAGTGGATGATGTTATCTCAAAATACCTGAGATTAAATTGTGTGCAAACTTGAACTGGAGAGGTTAAGGGAGAGGGAGGGTCATCCAGTAATTCCCGTTATTTAACCCAGACAGAAAAAGGAGTTGTCCCTTGCCCACAAGAATGATAACAAATTCTGTAACAAAATGGTCGAAGAAACATGACATTCCATTTCCTCTCCTTCCTGATCTTATATATTTCTCCCCTCCTTAGGCCTCTGAATAATGTCTTCCAACAGAAAACGTTAGAAATGGTGCTTTCTAGAACTACTCCTTTTACTCTCCTCCCTAATAAGACCACCTTCTGCCTCAACTTCTAATGAGATAGTTTCTTGCAAGAAATATTTGTTTTCAATCATCATATCCCAAGCGACATTTTATACCCCATTCTCGACATTTTTTTAGAGCTTTGCTTATATACCACAGAGCTGATGTGCCCGCCAACAGCTCCAACCTTTCAAAAGATCCTCAAAATCTTCTAACCTGGCCACTGGCCAACATGAACAATCTTGAACTGCAAAGGGAGCCAGACTCTCAGAGAGACCTATCATCTCCAACAGAGAGGGATGGAGATCCTAGATTGGGCTAGATAGTAAATCTTAAGGTCACCTTTGGGAAATTCTCTCCTTACTCCATCAACATGAAGAAACGACCAATCCTTGAAAAAACAGGGTTCACCATAAAACCGGACCAAATGAAGATCCTCGCATCCAAGGAAGATTCATCAATTGATTCATAATCAAGAGTCGCAGCACACTGATTTCCAGGGGCTCTGTATGCGTTGTCCGATTTTCCCTGATTCTGTCGAACAGATGAAGCATCATATGCTATGATCAACAACCAATGCGTAATGAAGAGCATTCCTCTGCCCAATAGCAATCAATTCATCCCACAAAAGAGTCCCTGGAGTCTCCTATCCCAGACCGTAAACACTTGTGAGGTCTCATAAAATGATTATGTAGTTCTTTAAAACAACAAAGCATACAAAATTGGCTATCAAACTGATCCAACATCTCTAAAAATATTTATCAACAACAAAACAATGCCCCCTGAAGCTCCCCACAAATAGAAAGAGGAAAATAAATGGAAGTTAGTCTCCAACATCAACACATTGTTCGCGAATATGGCACCGCGCCAGGCTCAATGACAGTAACATGCCTCCCATGAACTATTTAATTAACACATGTGGACATCTTGAATATATTCTGCTAACATAACTGGACCATAAAAACTCAGTTGAACAGTTAAAATTGACTAAAGAAATGAAAAACTCCCAAGTATAGAAAAATTTGCTCGCCGAAGCACTTGGATTTGCTGGCTCATGGAACCCCACCCTAATGTTTAGCCAAACGATATACATTCATTAATATAACCTGTTAAGTTTCCATCTAGATATGATTAAGTTTCCGAACATCCTCAAAGATAGAGTCTTGTGAAAGAAAACTTAACTCCATACTATCAGCCATGGTTAAGTAACACATTGGAAACCCATGCAGAATTCACTGGCCATTTCGTAACAGCGACACTCTGTAGCGACTAACACAGTTCAAAATCAACAAGCAAGCATTGCTTTTTTTGAAAGATGATACATAAGAATACATTAGCCACGAAAAAGAAAATTTTTCATAGCAGGGCACCACCAGACCCTTGTGCCACAAACCCTGAAGCTCAAAACCTGCCATTTACCAATCAGACAACAACTCGTCTGCTGTTAAGAGTATTTTATCAGGCCACACAAAATTATGAAAGTTGTAGCAGCACCAGATACATGCAAACCAAGAACGACGAACTCTATTCAATCAGCAAACTAACCAAGCAAATATGTCATTTTGTTATAGTTAATTCTTAAACCAATTATATTGTTAATTATGCATTACATTATTGTTAAAGTTAATTCTTTCTGTCACTACCACTAATGCCGTTAAATAATGACGTGTTAGATGCTTAATATTTCACCAACATGCATTTTAATTCTTAAATTATTTTCTAAGAAAATACTGTAATCCCTATATTTTATTTTATTTTAAAAAATAAATTCTTAATTGTAGTTTTGTTGAACCTCGTTTGTAGATTAAACGCAATTTAGCTCCAAGATATATATATTTTTAATTAAATCCCAACATGTCAAATCTTAAACTTCATCAAAATTGTGATAATAGACATATAATATTATTAGAAATAAAAAATTTATTTCTTCAGTGGGTATATCTATTGAAATCTACTTAATTTTTATCTTATCCACCAACTCATTTAAATTATAAAAAGAATTATTGAAAATAATGTATTTATGATGGTGTGAGGAAAAAAGTCAAAATCAAAGTAAAAAAGACTTCAATGACCTAACAATAATTTTTTTTAAATAAATGTTTTTCTATGATACCATATAAATATTATGAAATATTTTACCTTATTTTATTTTTTAATTTATCTTCTTATGTTTTGTCTCTGTTTTGTTTTTTGTTTTTTCAAGTCAAGGTATTATAAAGTTTAGGAATTTGTTCCCTACAATATATTGTCACAATTTTGATCAAGTTTAAGATTTCATGTAATGGCTTAATTGAAAATAAAAACATCCATAGATTGAATTGCATTTATCGTAAGAGATAGAGGCAGAATAAGACTTTAAATAAGGACTTATTTGTAAGGAAAAGAAATTACAGGGGCCAAAATAAAAATTACTAAAAAAATTAAGAACCAAAATGTACATTAGTGAAATATTAAAAAGCTGACACTTGCCATTATTGAACAGTCTTGGCTATAAAAAACTGGTAGAAGATCATGACAATGACAATTATGATATTATAAGGATGATATAAATGGAAATAAAATAAAATAAAATAGTATAGGGACCCGTTAAGCACAAAAACTAGAGTCCATGGTTGCATGCAAGTGTTAACCCGCCTCTTTTCTACTAGCTTTACATGATTTGGTCATCAGCACGGCGGAGCAACTGTTCGTATTGTTGATGGAGTAAGTACAGTGTCCATTCCTATTGATATCAGGAGCACCCTTCACTAAAAAGCATCGCTCCATGCCGTTTCCTTGCATGGACAATGTCAGCCTTGCCAACGCCGATGTTGCAGCGGCGTAGTGGTCACAGAAGGAAACGAGAAGATGATGATGATGTTTTTCTTGCACTACCGATTTATATGATATTCATCAAAACCACCGCCAGCGCTCACCAAAACCACTCACCACCGTTATCACCACCTTTCATCGGACCATCACCATTTTATTATTAAAATAATTATCATTTCATCTACTAGACTGCTATCACGACAACCACCATCACATTCACCACCAATACAACCATATCCATCATCGTAAATGTTAGACATTGCAAAAACCATGAAAGAAGAATATATTTGTCATAATATTTTCTTTGATAATTCAAATAACTCTTTTTTGAAGAAAATATTTTCCTCAAGTTAGTTCCTTCATTGTTCACAATGTGATTTATTGGATTTTAGATATAGATATCATAATTACGTTCTTGTAATGATTTTCTCTTGCAGTCATTAAAAATTGCTTTCGAATTCATGGAATAGACAAGATTTTTCCTAACCGTTAAATCTCACGAGTCCACTATTTATTCATTTTTATTATTTTATTTTGCATCAAATTGGGTTGTTCCTGGTGGTGTGTGTTGTTGAATCTTAGGTCTCCAATTTCCCAACACGAAAGTAAGGTTAGATTTGATCCGAAAATTGACATCATCACTCTGCTATAAAAAAGCACAAAACCAACTGATCTATCCACAAACACAATGCACAAAAAATATATTGCACGCACCATTTCTGCTTCGCTCGGGACAATATCAGACCATCAGTTCCTTTCGTTTTCTGATCTGGATGCCCAACGCAGAATCAAATGATGGCACGGAGTAGGTTCAACTATCATCTTCATGAATGAAAGACAAAATGAACCACAGCTTATATGGTAACCCTGGTTGATCCAAGGTCTATAAACGTAATTGGCTTGCACAATTTCTCAGTTTCAGATCACACTCATCATTTTCATCAATCCGAACTCTGTGTTGACCTCTACATGGCATGTCATAAATGCTACAGGCATGGCAATACAAAGCATTAACCACTAGGGATGTCACTATAAACTTGGACAAAAAATACAACCCTCGAATCAATATAGAGCAAAAAACTAAAATAAAAGATAGGGTTGTCTCACCACAAGCAACCTCCAAGCAGGCGCACAATGAAATTCTTACTTGGTCAACCAGTAAATAAAAATAAGAAAAGTGCATACGGATGCAACCAGGGAAAGTATGATGGTATCCATGGATTTTTTCCTCTTTATTGCTGATAGAATTTGATTTACCTGCATCATTACATCAAAGAAGCATGTCAATCATTACAAGTATATACATGGAAGAATACATGAAACCCAAAGCCATGGAAACAAAATCATTTCTCGGGGTTAAGCAATCGCCTAAAAGTGATGCTGTATAGTTTATTCTAGCATGCTCATGGAGATCCCTTTCCATTACCAAAGATTACATCTAGACAATTTATAACTGTTGTTTGAAAGGCAGCTTTATTATTCAGCAACCAACTTATTATCAAGCGTCTCCACTTGTTTTACCCCATTCATGTCATGTGCTATAGAATGAAAAGAAAAGAAAAAATAATTCTGATTGAGGCTTCCCAAACAAGATTCAAAACATTGATTCACTCAGCATTCCATAAATATTTAAAACATAATTAACCACCCGAGCAAAGGTTTTCATACCGTTGGGAGGCGGCTGCTGACATTACTCAGCTTTGAATTTATTCCTCCAAAAGTTGAACGTTGAAGAACTAGTGCACCAAGAGTAGATTGAGCTTGTGAAATCACATTATCCATCTGAGGCACCAGAACACAATGAACAAGGAACTTCAATTAAAAGCATAAGTTGCACATTAGCAATCATGCTTGAAAATTACTGTTTCAGATTTTTTTCCTTTTTTCCTGCATAAATTTCAGTGCAGCTTGCATATGCATAATGACATGAAACATGCAAATCAGAGACATAGTATAACCAACAAGCACTCAAAGCTTAGTAATGGATAAGAGGGTAACCACACAACATTTCCCGACATATCTTGAGTGTTTCACAGTTTATATGATTTCAGATATATTATGTCAATGTTCCATTACAAAAGAAAAGGAGAAATCTAATAGATTGAGGATGCGGAAGTCCACAAGCTCATATAAATTTATACTAAAACACACCTATATCGCAAAGAGAAGAGCCCTTTGGCCTGTACCTGCCCAGTATTTCGGCTAATAGATGCATGTTCTCTAAGAAGGGCTTGGTCTGCAGAACCAACTCCATCTTCCAAATCTAATCTTGTTCGATCAAACTCCCTAAAGTCTTCCAGAAGAAGAGCATGTTCTTGCTTAGCTCTCATGCCAGAACGGAGACGATGAAACTCCTGCACTTAATCATGTGTAATTCCAAGTTAATTAGACTGAATATAATCAACTGCATAGCAAGAGATTACACAATTCCCTAGTCTTTTTTTTTTCGAGGAAAGAGAAGGGGATGTTTAGTTTAATGAGATGGGGCCTAGAAAGATTTTCATCATCATATACATTTTTCAACAATTTCAACTCCAACAAAATTAGTAAACCAAATTATTTATCAGCGTGAATTTTTAATGTACTTCTGTAAACAGGTTTTGTGAATGCAAGCGTAAGAGTGACAGCAGAGACAACAAATCCATCACAAGTGCCCAGATGCAAAAACCCTTTGTCAAACATATCAGCTTATTAAAATTGTCGTGTGAAACAGAAAACTGAAGCAATCTCCAATAGTAACCAACCAGTATACACCTCCTTTTGTGAGTGTTATTGGTTTTCAAAGGAGAATGAGCTTCATTTGTAGTGAAATTAAACAATAACAAGAAAACCGATCACAAAGGAAAAGGAAAAGGTATAATTATACATCTTCAAGAGATGTTTGCCTCATACATGGTCAACTTCAATGAAGCAACTCAAAGATCTTTGAGGATCATAAGCAAAAGCTCACAGATTGAATGGAAGACCTACCTGAGTAAGATCCTGAAGAATTTCCTGATGCCGAGTCAAGGTGTGAGAAACCATTTCTGATCCCCCAGATGATACCCAAGCTTGCATCTGTAAATTTACTTGCTGGAGCTGTTTTAATAGCCTGTCTATCCCAGATTCAAGATCATTCTCTGGAAAATCAACTTTTGTTGAACCCTTCGAGGATGCTAGTTTACGAAATGAGCTCATCTGCTCATCCAACTGAGCTTCAAGTTTCCTTGCCTGCAATAATGTCAGAAAATCATTTACAAAGATATCTAAAACTCAAGCTAGCAGGAGTTAATATCAAGCAGAAAGTATAAGAAAAGAACACGGATTAATAACAAAAGAACTCGTAAACCAATTATGATAACTCCATATATGAAGACATAAAAGGACATTATGAAATATAACAAACAAACTATTTTCATTCCTGACTGAACAAACAAATCATTTGAATAAAAAACCATCGAATCCATAGATACTTTCACAGATCTCTTGATGATTTTCTCAACCAACCAGCCCAAGCAAAAAGAAACTCAATTCTCCAAGAGCCATGGCATAATCAGAGCGTCACAGGTTCAAGCTATCCAAGTAGCAGGCCTCAAGGTGAAGTAGCTACGCTACAAGTATTTCCCTCCGTTTAAAAGAGATGATGCATTTTCGCTACTACATTAATCCTATAAGATAAAATTCCAAACCAAGGAAGCCTCGCGGAAATAAATCAATGTCAAGTTTTCCATAACCATTCACACAAATCATCCAAAAATTAACGAAATTCGGAAATTTTTTAATCAAATCCCTAAAATAAAAAATCGAGAATTTTGAAATAGAAAGAAATGGTGAAGGAACCTGTTTGCGTAAAGCGTCCCATGAAGAAGAAGAAGAAGAAGTCACTTCCATTGCAGATCTCTCTCTCAAAATTCGTTTCAATTCTCTTCTCTGTTAATTAATGATGATCACAAAATTGAATTTTGAGAAAGAAATTTGTTGAATTAGAGATTGATCGACTAGAAAAAATGAAACCGGGGTGGGTTTGTTTGGAGATGGAGACGGAGGCAGAGACAGGCCGCCCACCGCTCGCTCCTTCGCTCTCGAAAATTATGAGGGGGGAGACGGTGCTGCTATTTGCTTTATTCATTTGGGTGTCCATGTTACTCTGCGTGTGTTCTCATTTTAGCACTTTGTTTTTATTTGTTTTGACCAGTGTTTTTTACCCATTTAGTTTTTCTATTAAAAAAAAAAAAAGATGGATTCTTGCTTTGTGTTTTTTCCTTTCAAAACTCTTAATTTTTTCCGAATGGTTAGATAATGTTCATAGATAATAGAAAAGATTTAATCTTAATTAATGTCTAAACTAATTTATAATACTCCACAAATTAATTGAAAAAAAATTAATTTTGTATTCATATAGATAGAGATGGAGATAGATAAAAATAGTAGACTTGTTAAAATATGGAGATGAATATAATATATTTTTATCTGGTGGATCTACGTGACCAAATAAATTAATTTATATATTATAGTTTTTATTGTATATCTAAGATAATTTCGTAAGTTTTTTTTCCTAGAATTACCTTGATGAACTCTTTTTCATAAATATAAAATGTTTATTTAATTAAAATGTGTCATTTAATCACTTAGATCTCCAACGAGATTTATCTCATGATAAAAACCTGTATAGAGCATACTTTTAAAATTATTTAAGGTGTTTTTAGAACATTTGTGGTGTAACTTTTCTTCATTTAAACTAATATCCTTTTTTATTTCAAAAACTTGAGTTAATCAATATAAATTTTTCCAACAAGCAAATTAAATAAAAAAATAAAAGATAAATAGTTTAGTAGAAAATAATAAAATTTTATCAATTTCTTATCATGTGTCTTCTCCAAACACAAAACTAATGTTGTTTATAGCTAAGGTTATACTTATTTTGTAGTATTTTGTTTTTCTCTATTTCTACTTCCAATGTTTCTCTAAGGTTATACTTATTTTGTAGTATTTTTTTTCTTTTTTTTTTCTCTATTTCTACTCCCAATGTTTTTAGCTTATTAACTTTGTTTTTTTTATTAATACGAATGTCTGGATTAACTTGTATGTATCTGAATTAATTTTATGAATTCTAAAATTAAAAATTATATAAATTTTTAATGATTTTAAAATTTATAAAATATAAATTAATAATTTTTAAAAAATAAATTTAAAACCAATTTCCACTCAAGATTTCTATCTTATTAACTCTTGAGATGACATATCATTCTTTAAGCATTTGAGAATCACCTGAATGCCTAGCCTCTTCTCTAGCATTCTTTTGATCAATTGAAACTCAAGATTTGTTTGATTTTATAACATAAAAAAATACAAAATTTAATTAGTAAAAAAGAGTTGAAAAATAGACACCTCTTACATAATTATATCTATCTTCTCTCAAAAATAAAAAAATATTTTATATATATTTTTTAAATATTTATCTATATTTACTTTTGAAAAACCAAGCTGAAAACCACACCAATTCTTGAATACAAAAGTAATAAATACACTCTCAACTGAAACCTTCAAGAAACTATTAGGACTTAATTGTAAATTAATCTTTCTTAACAACACAATCAATACCACCGCTGTAATAAAAGGATTAATCCGAAATTTTCTTAAAAAGAGCCGAAGAGATTGAAAAAAAATTAGATATTACGTTAAAAAGAGCCGAAGAGATTGAAAAAAATTTAGATATTACGTTTTTAAATTTTTTTTATTTAAAATATATTAAAAACTATTTTTTTAATTTTTAAAAATAATTTATTAAAATAATATAAAAATATTAAAAAAACATTAATTAAAAATAAAAAATAATTGTTTTTTAAATTTTTTCAAAAAATACTTTACAGCAAAAACAAAAATTAGCATTACTTGCCTACATGGTCGCGAGAGGTTTTCTACTGTGAAGCCAACATCCTAATAAGCCCTAAAAGCCAGCCGTCTCAACTCAGTTTCTTCCCCAACTCACCTCTCTTTCAGTTCTCAGGTAATAACCCAGCAGTCTCTACAAATCCCTTTTCATCTTTAGTTTACCCGTTTGTTTCTTTGCCTCTACATCGTTACATATTTCCGGCTTTTCTTTTTCTTTTCCTTACTCTTTCTTCTCGCTCTGGAACCAAAGAGAGGCTAAGTAACGGTGATAGTTAAGATTGGTGTATTTTTCCTTTGTGAAACATTATAGTATTGATTTTCTATCTGGGTTTCTGTTTGTTCGCTAAGAAATACAGTTATCCGCATATGTATTAGTAGTCGGAGTTGCAGTTTCTGTGGTTTGAAATTCAGTGTCGTGCTTACTTCACCTCAGAAAGGGAGGAGATGCTAACTTTATTGTTTCATGTGATTTTAGGTGGATCGGAGGTTTCGTTTTCTTTCTTGTTTCTATTGGATAAGGAGGGTAGAGGATAAAAATATTAGTAATGGCAGAAGCGGAACCACTGGAGATGGCATATATATCAGAGGTGATATTGAAGAAAAGGAAGCACAAGGAAGAATCGATTGCACTTACGAGGAAAACCCAGTTGGAGTTGGGGCAACATGGTGGGAATAAGAGGAAAGTGGAGGATATTAAAAGGCCTGAACAGCTTGTCAGGGAGTTTAGGGACAGGGTAAAATATTCTACTTGCCGTGAATTGGTGCTCTTTCAAAATTTACTTTTTCTTTAATGTTTGTTGCATTTTTCTGTACTTTTCTGTGTAATGCATGGTAATATAAGTGAAATTTGAAATGTTGAAACATTTTGATGAATTTGATTCTAGTATTTTATCCCAGCACGAAATGGTTTAACTTTAGGTCAATTATTTTATGCCCTATTTATTTTCATACGAAACTTTTGCTTTCTGCTGGTTTCCATTTACTTACTGTACGTGCAAATATGCCTGTTGATTCCATTTTTTTTATTTCTTATATTCAAGCATTTCCATCTTGAAATTAGTAAGATTGCTAGGGAACTATCAGATGACAAAAGTTCATTCTCATGCTCTGGATGACGATTTCTTGTTTTGCACTAGGGACTGAAATCTGATGTCAGTAATTCTTGGATTATCATAAGCACATGTGTTTTGACAGCTTGTAAGTGCTGTCTTGTCTAGATCTTTTATCGTGTATGCGTAATTTTCTGGTAACTCAGAAGTTAGGACCAAGACTTGTTGCAACTACCTTACCCTTAACCATTTGACCAGAGGACTGAGCGGCATGCTTATTGTGGTATGTGTATGTTTTGTGAAATTACTATCCTGTGTGTTGGCAGAACTATTTTATGTTTTGGGGCATAACATATAACTGTATATCATAGTTTGCCATCTAAAGATTTCATGTAAAGTCTTCGAAAACTAGCATGTGAATTCAGTGAGTTTTCTGGCTTGTCAATCTTTTAAGAATTCTTGATTATTATATTTTAAATCTTCTTAAGCTAATGTTGCTGAAAATACTATAAGGTGACCCTTCTCTTCCGTGCGTTCCACAGAATATACACTTGTTTACACGAAACCTGATTGTATGATTCTGTAATAATTATAAACCTGATGCTTTCCTCTAGGAATTGGACCTCATCCGAATGAAACAGAGAGCTAAGAGGGCAAAATCAGCATTGTCCACACCAAATTCAAAGCTTCTATTTGTAATTCGTCTACATGGGTAGGTTACTAGTGCTTTGCAATGATTCCATTCAATATCTCTGCAATCTATTCTTCCAGTTCTGACACGTTGATTTGTTTTCAGCAAAAATGACATGCATCCAAAAACCAGGAAGATCTTATACAACCTGAGATTGACAAGAATCTTTCATGGTGTCTTCTTGAAGGCCAGCCCAGGGGTATTAGAATTGCTACAAAAGGTGGAACCATATGTTACTTATGGGTAGGATTCTGAAACCCACATTAATTTATTTTGGAAGAGTATAATCTTAAATATAGGCAGAGGAATGGTTTAATTTTAATTAATTATAGGTCAGTTGAGTGATTTATTGTGAGACCCAGTAAAGTTACTGTGAGTATGCCAAATGGATTAGTCTAGTATGTTAGATCTAATGCCAAGTAAGTTCTAGCTTGGCTTCCCGTAGCTTTCAAACCAACCTGCTCTCTGTTTCTCTGAATTCCTAGCTTTCAAACCAACCTGCTCTCTGTTTCTCTGAATTATCTGCTATGTGAACCAGTGACCAGATAAGATTTTAGATATCTGTATAATAGATATCTAGCAGATTTCTTTTTTAGTTTCAATAGACATCATGAATTCTACCTGATCTTTATTTTGAGCATGTCTGCTGGATATATAGCTAAGCTCTTTAAGACCGTCTCTATATTGTGCTTGGAGCCTAAATTACAATATTGACAGATGTCAGGTCAAGTTGAAGATTGTCCATGAACACATGTGGGCTTTGATTTCTGCCTTAAATGAACACCTGAATGCACACATGGCTCTCTCAAGCAGTTTCTTAATAAATTTAAAGAGAACAGTTGAACTCTAATTGCATGAATTCTTTTTGCAAGAAGGAATTGTCTGCCTGGCTGTTCACAAACTTTTACCTTGTTTTTCATTGGATCCTCAGTTGTGTGTTTTCTAGTCCTTAGGCAGACATGGTTTTAGGAATAGGGTTCAACCATTTCAAATGCTAGTTTAGAGATGATTATCCTAATGATGTTGGGACAGTTGGTTGCTGTATGATTCTAACTATTTCAAATTTATCCTAACAAGCTCTTTTTTTTTTTTTTTGAAGATATCCAAATGTTAAGAATGTGAGTGATCTGATTTACAAGAAGGGTTATGGAAAGATTGACAGCAAAAGAGTTCCACTAATTGATAATAACATTATCGAACAGGTATTGGATGAATCTTTCTCGGTTGTGTCAAGTTTTGTAGTGCGCTTTGGCATTTCCTCACGTTTCTTTATTTTGGCAGGCATTAGGGAAGTATGGCATTCTATGTCTAGAAGACATTGTACATGAAGTTGCGAATGCTGGTCCACACTTCAGGGAGATCCTTAATTTTTTGGGGTCATTTTCACTTAACAAGCCAAAAGAAGGATTGCAAGGGAAAAGGGCGTTATTCAAAGATGGGGGAGACACTGGGAATCGTGAGAATCAGATTAATGATTTAATTGATAAGATGAATTAACATATAAAACAGGTCCTATGATGAAGTGTAATTCTCCTAACGTTTGCCCTTCTGAGCCGTGTATCACAGTTCTTCTGGATTTTGAAACCTTCATAAATCATTTCAGCTCTTCTGATTTTTCTGTTTTCTTTAATCTTTTTGTAAGCAATTTCTCTTCTTGCAACATTAAAGTCTGTTAACGAGGGATGAATGCACAGGTGGGGGGGTGGAATATGTGTTTGTATCCATTTTTGTTCTGTACTTGTGGTAGTGACAAGGACATCTGCAGGAAAGACGTGAATTAAAGGACTTCAATTTTGTTTGTCTTTCAGTGTATAAAATATTTTATACAAAACAAATGTAAAAAAACTAGAAAAATACTTTATGTAAAGCAATTGCCTCCCAAATTATTGTCAATGGTAGACTTGCAGGAAAAAATAAAATAAAAAACTAGAAAAAAACTTTAAAGGTAGTGATTAGTATTAAATTCGGAGGAGTTTCACTGATCAAAGGAATCTTAATTGGATTTGATGTTTGCCAAATTATACATAGTTAAATCCACGAGGAGACCGATTCCGTTTTGTTTGTTTTTTTCCTCTCGAGTTATAATTCGACTGGTGGAGAAAGAGAGAGATGGGATGGAATTAAGTATGGCTTTTTGAAGTGGAGAGGTCATCTTCAAGCAGGAAATTCATATCCTTTGATTTGTATTTCTAATGGGATGGCTATATGCCCCATAACTTTCTCTTCAAACTACTTACAAATCACTAACTTAATAAAAAAAGATAGAAAAATCTACAAGAAGATTTGGGGTCCCAATTTTGATTAGACCAAGCAAGCGAAACCCAACACAAGAATCATAATTGCTTTCCCATTTGCCATAGACAAGCAAGTGAATTCAAAAGCTAATTGCACTCATAACGAAGTCCATCCTTTTCTTCTCCATCCATCAAATGCCTTGTTATCTTTCTTTCTCTCCCTCCTCTCTCTCTCTCTCTCTGTTTCGTTAACTAGTGTCACATTTGAAACTTATGTGAAGGGGCTTCCTTTAGAGATGTGACATGGTATACCTGACAATAATTCATAAAGTTATTTAGCATAGGAAACCACACTAGGGGCTCTCCACATCAACTACTCAATCTAATTGTCGGCCACTTGTCGTTTTCACCACCCATTTCGCCACCAGATGACGACAAACTGCATCTTCTGTTGACATGCGGGGCTGTCCCATTGGGTTTCATGTTGAGTCCGATTGCGCTAATGGGACTTCTTATTGGGGCTGGGTTTCATGTTGAGTCCGATTGCGCTAACGGGACTTCTTGTTGGGGCTCGCCTCCATTTTTTTTTTTTATTAATGTAGATGTTCGGGTTAATTTACACGCATTACGATTAATTTTACAATCCACTTAATAGCTTGCAAGCTCAATGAACAGATAAGGCATCATAGGGGTGACAGGTGTACCATATAGAGAGGAACCAGCAGATATAGGAAAGAAATCATTCATCAGCCCTACTGTTACTGGGACTCAAATCGAAATTCAAAAAAAAAAAGTAGCACTTTATGCCATTGAGCTACAATCTGCTTGATTCGCCTCCATTTCTAGTGTCCCACAGCATGAACAAAGGTCTTCTTGAGTGATAGATAACGTCCTTCAGGTCTCCCCCTTCACTTCCCTAGCTACAAGGAAGAAATATGTGCTTAGGGTTTTTATCCACAATCAAGAGCTAGTTTGTGGGGTCATATCCAGACAAGGTTGTTGAACTTGCAAGACTCTTTTTTATTACGTTTTAACAAGTGAATAGTAGCAATCGAAACATCGCTCGAAACGATGTTTTAGCTGGCTGTTATTAGATTTACTGTGATGCTTTAACATGCCATGAAAATGAAAAAAAGAAGAAAATAATTAAGTAGAAGGCACATATGAAGATACATACATGGCATGCATAATATTTCACCGCATCCTGTATGATCGATCAAGCCTCGTCAAACTCGACCAGCTCGTTATCCAAAATTAATGACTTTAGCTGAAGACTTGAAATAAAGTAGAACAAGACAAGGAAATGTACTTTTGATGGATACTCCTCTTTGAACCAGTATCTGCCCAAGCCCGAGTGGTCTCAATAATGCCATAAAGAAGATAACATAGCGCAGTGCTGCAACTTGTTCATGGCTGGCATGTGAGACAACCAGACATTGTAGCGTAATTCTCACATCAAATATCTAACCATGAGTGCCATTATTATGTTATCTCTTAGTCTTTTAATTAGTCATCATCATCATCAATTCGGTGGTATATGAGTATATATAATATAATGTTTAAATATGAAGCATCAATACAGCAAAATGAACCAACACAAGAGGTTAACAAGTCATATTCGTCCTCATTCCTGGCTTTCTTTTTTTCTTTTTTCGAGCAAAACCCTTTTGCATGCTAATAAGGATCACCCCTCGAAGTTAGCTAGGTTGGCTTCCTAGCTTTGGCTTGTTTATAAAAGAATACAGAAATCCTAACCTGAATCTGTTTAAAGAGTCAAATACCTGGAAATTGATTGATTGATCATGAGGTTCGTTAATCTGCTATTGCATCTCGTTTTGACCGATTCCACTGGACCAATTTGAAAAAAAAAAAAAAAGAATTATGAAACTGTGTATGATTGTTTTCGTACAAAAAAGCTTCTGCATTCTACAGTTCTTTCCATCCCACCCAAGATATAGTATGAAGCTATGTAGCTGCCTGAAAATAAAACCCTACTTTGTTGATCCTAAGACTGTTTGATTTAATTCAAGGATTTGTTTTATTTAGGAGAATATGATCCTAAGTTTTGTTTTTTAAAGTTTTTTTTAATACATAAAAATAATTTGTTTTATTTTTTAAAAATTTCTTTTAAAATCAACACATTAAAAAAATTAAAAAATATAAATAATAGCGTTACCTTAACTTTTCTTTTCCCCGTTCATGCTTGCTAGCTAAGATCGACCACGTACCCATGCTCAATTAGGAGGAAGTGAATTTATTTCTGGCGAAAAAAGAAGTGATTTTTAAGATATTTTTTTTTTAAAAAAAACTTAAGATACGAACCTGATTGTATCAAGGGAAAATTTTAAATTATCTAAGAATATTATTTTAATTAAGATAGACGTCGGTTTTGTGTTTGTACCTTAAATAACTTTTTGAAAATCATATTTTATGTCAAGTTATCTCAATTGTTAAGTGTTTATTATTCAGGTAAAAATTAGTAAATTTTAAAACCAAAGTAATTCTGAAAATAAGTTAACAAAGAGAGAGTCTATTTTCTCACTTTTAATAATGATGAGTGTTAAATATAAAATGATGGTAGATAATTAAATCGAGCCTAAACACATTCTAAAATGTAAAAAGTAAAAATAATCATCGACCTAACTAATTAAACAGCAGGATGAAAGAAATATAATTGGAGTAACTCGAAAGGCTATTGTCAGCCTCCTTGAACATGCAAATTCAGGCATTTATTGGACAAATAAATACATTTATACATTTATTTAATCATATTTTATATATGCATGCAGAGCTGTGACATTAGAATTTTTATTTTAGAAATCGAAACCTTGTATAAACCCTAGTTTTTATGTTTCAAATCAGAGCTGTGACATTAGAAAATTTAGGATTGACTAATTTTTACATAAAAAAAAATATATTTAGCATCTATATATGCAATCCAGGTAGTTTTGAACTCGGAATAACTCACACATATAATATGTGAAAAATATATTTAGCATCTATATATATATATCACAAAAATTCAAACATAGTATGTTTTTAAAAAACACAACAATTAAACACGGAACAAGCAAGCAAGTAAGCAAGCAAGCAAATCAAAATTTCATATAGAAACTAAATTGTTACATCTTATATAATGCAAAATCCAACACATCCCATCTTCCTAGTCTCATTGCGAGACATTGTACACCATCATTGTAATTCAAGTAGGACAAAACATATTTCAATAAATTTTAGGGTTAATTAAAAATTAAATTGAAAAAATTTACAATCAAATATCTTTTTTAAAAAGGTGCTAAATTCTAGGGACTTATTTTTGCTATACATCTAAGTTCAAATTAATTAAAATATATTTTTCACATATTATGATATGAAATACATCATATACTTTTTCCATAATTAGCCTTTTATTATATTTATATGATAACATGTCCTTTTTTTTAATAAAAGTAGGCTCGTTAATGACCAAATATTTATACTTTAAAAATTGACTTGTGCTCAAGTCTTAGCCTAGGTTTAAGTTTGAATTTACTGTAAAATGATATTTTAGATTATAAATGATAATTTTTTACCAACTGAAATTTAGATTTAGACTTGATTCATTGAGAATTGTTTCTTCCAGCACAATGTTAGTCCAGTCCAGCTCATGAATTTTAATAATCTCTTTTAGAAGCATTTCTAATAAATCTAAGGAGTTTTTCAACTAAAAATGTATGCCCACTACGTTTATATTTAGTTCTTGTTTAATGGTTGTTAATTAAAAGTTGAATGATGAAAATTAATTTTTTAACCTTTTAGATTTCAAAATTCATTATAAAAATAGAGGTGAAGAAAGAGTTGAGTATAATATTTTTTCAGAATTTCACACACTCTTTCTCATTTTATTTTTAGTTTTTTTCTTCTTTTTTTTGTATTTTAATTTTCTTTCCAAAAATCTAAAGTTTAGATTCACTTTATTGAGAGATATTATGAATCTTTTATTTTAGTTCAAAGACTTTAATTTGAAAGTACATCTAAATAAATGCAGTATTGTTGGAATCTTGAAAGACATATAATTATATAAGTGAAAAGTAATAAAATTTTAAGAATATATAATTTATTTTTTACAATAATAAAAGTTTGATTACCTTAAAGTTCTCCAACAAGTAAATATTTTTATTTGTTTTATTCTAGCATAATTATTTTTTTATTATTAACATGCATGCTTCAATATAATTTTATATTAATTGCAAGCTTGAACATATATTTAGTATGCATGCTAACATTATTTTATTTTATTTACGTTGAAAGCATGTTTGTTTTAAATTTTATTTTTGCATGTTTATAGATGTAGACATGAATGTACTATAAGTTTTTCTTGAATAATTATTTTATGATGTATATTATTAT